GCCCAAATTCTATGAAGCATCGCAAATTCTGTGAAGCAAACAGGGAAAAATCTCAGTGTAAAGCAACAGAGGGCTACATTCAGAAGACCTAAACTTTCTACACAGTAGAAACATAACAAAAAAAAAAAAAAAACCAAACAAACAAAAGGAAAAAACCCAACATTTGCAAGTACAGATTGATAAAACTTCCTTCAGTTGAGAGTTGAGCCCCAGCTACACTAACACATAGAAACACTGCATGGCACTGGAACAGGAGCCATCTCAAGTCACATTCATATGAGCATCAAGAAAGGATTACTTGCAAATCCATTTTCATAGAACAACTCTGCTCTTTCAAAATCATTATTCTCCAAATGCAGAATCATATGGAAGTGAGAAAAAGGAAGGATGGAGAAGTAAGGTGTAATTCACTGACAACTCCACACATAGCAAAACATTTGCCAATTCATGTTTCCTCCTTCAGACTTTGAAGAACTGGCTTCTCACTCCCACATGATCACTGAGCAGTATCATCTTTAGCGTGTGTAAGTACAGAACTTGAATTCTCTACCAGTAAATTTTAGCCTCATTTCTAATCAGCAGCCACAAATCACTGTGCCAATTATCACTTTAAAGGTCTTTTGGTTAATAAGTCCAGCTCCACAAAATAAAAACTAAGACAACTGGTTTCCTGCAACCTCCTTAGAGAAAGAGAAATTACCTGAAATATACAGAATGAACACGTTTGAGTTTAGACTGACACCTGCAGCACAACAGGCAGAGTTTTTTATTCCGTTGCAAAATCATTTCAGAAGAAAATTCATCATATGACTTGGCAGCACAACTACTAAGGCACTAACAGCAAGAACAAAAAGAAAAAAGTGAAAGAATAAGGCAGAAGTGGAAGGCAGACCAAATAAAGATGTGTCTATCACTAGCCAAGTATCCTCAAGTTCCCCAAGAGTTCGCAGGGTTAAACATTTAATATTACATTATTTCATTTTGTTACTTCCCACTAACAGTCCTACCTAATGCTTTTAATTTTTTTGTTGTTTTGCTTGTTTTGTATTTTTCCCTGAATAGTCACACTTCTTAACTGTTACTTATTTATAAAGAACGAAATCTTAGACTACAAAACATTCCCTTAATAAAGAACTACTAAAAAAAGTCTGTCCACTATAGAACTACTCATAACAGCTACTTCTTACCAGTAGCAAGGGCAATAACAGCTAACTGTCCAAAAGCATATATGAGGACCTGTAAGACAGATACAAACAGGTGTTGTTTTGTTGTTGTTTTTTTTTTTTTTTTTATTCTGAAAGCATTCAGGAGCTTGTCAGGTTTAAAAACATATTTATGTACTTAATTTTTCTTATAAATAATATATTGATATATACACTTAAAAACTCCAGAGCAGTTAAAAATATAACTCAATGCTGTATGGGCAAAAAGACCTGATCCAGGAGACAGAACACTGAATTAAGAATATTGCCAACTCATTAGTTTCTAGATGCCATATCACCTCTTTGTTTCTCAATCTATCCCATCTTCTGACATAATGACATTGATTTATTATGTATTTTAGTGACAAAAAAGGAAGTATAGAAATATTACTGTTATACACACATGTCAATGCAACTCCTCACTTGAAACACAGCAGCTGCCTAATCAATTAGCACTGCTGGAAATCAAGAATGTGTTTCATTACTGCAGTAATCAGTTACAGCACGTGAGAGGTGGAGAGTTCCACCCCTCTCACTGGCAGCTTTCAGTTCAAGCAAGCCGCTAACTAAAACAGAGCTCAATTCTCCTCGATGGTATATACATGAAAGTTGCCTAACCCAAACGGAGAGGTTATTTGGCATGACATCATATCAGTTCAAAACAAAAAACCCCAGATTTTAATTATTTTCTAAATTTGGACAACTCTCTTCCTCTTGAGATTAAAACATATGTTTACTGCTATACTTAACAGAATGCTCACCCTTCAAAATATCACAATTTACCATTCAGAATATAACAAAATCCATTTAATCTGTCAAGAATGGTCACGTAAAGAGAAATTAAATACATGTTTTAATATTTGTGGGAACAGTCTTGGCAGCCTGGAACCCTAGGTGATAAGGAACAGTTAATGTGTGAATTCAAAAACATCAGTAAATAATTAGGTGACCCCATAAAATGTTGATGCAAAGAACAGACACTGCACACAAAACTGAAGCAGTTACCATGCAGCACTGGTAACTGCTTACAATTTGGATTTTCAGCTGTTAGGTGTTTGGGTTTTCTACCACAAAAAGTCAGAATAGACTTCACAATCAGTTACACAAACTTCTACTGGACCATCAGAGTTCATTATCTCATTCCTCTTACAGCTTTCAGCTATACTGTGTGCTGTTAAAAATAACTAACTCTACTGAAGGGTATTATTTACCACACAACCCTCCCAAAATAACAAATTTGTAAGGAATGAAAATCTGACCTTCAGAAGCCTAAACTTATCTTCAGCTTAATAAATGGTTTCAAATCTAATAATTAAGTGCTTATTAGCCTGCATTTCAGCTTTGCAAAAAAAGTCTCTTGATCTCTTCTTTGCTTTCTTGGCCTATAAAACAAGAAAACCTCTTCAATAAAGTGGCAACAAATATTTACCCTGCACTTAGTAAAACGTATCTCTCATACAGAGCACAAATGAGAAATTATACCTAGCACTCTAATCAACTTCTCTAACAGTTGTTCACAACCAAGCAGATATCACCTTAAGCTGTTAGTTATCTAAAAAAATATCACACTTTGCTCCTAACTCCCCCTAGATTTTTTGCATTCTAATTTTCTCAGGTGCAACTGATTTAAGAGGTATTAACTTCTTGATTGCTGAAGGACACAAGGACAAAGGACCTATCACAGTCAGTAGAAAGAGTAAATTACAGTTAGGATGGGATGCACTTGTTGCACTGCCTGTGAAATGTTTAAATAGCAACCAGTATTTTTGTGGTGAGAAAGTTACCAAGCTCTCTAGTTTTAACCACAGTCTTCCCATGGTCGGTATTTTTCTTAACAGTTGAGCTGTTGGGACACATGAGATAACCTGGAAATCATAGTTCTCACTTTAAACAAAACAAAAAAATATGGGGGTATTAGGTGAATTGGAATTCTAAACAAAATGATCCAAACACTGATCAATTGGGTTTAGATTCATATGTTTTTAAAATGCCATAATTTATGGGAGCAGCTGGAACTTGGAACATATCAGAACACCATGATATATCAAGATTTAAAGGGAGAGTGCACACTAGATGTGAAAATTTCACGTTCCGTATCTAATTTCTCATGGAGTATTTTCTTATGCAGGTGCTCCCCCTGCTGTTTTAATAAACAAAATGTTCTAATGATCTTCCTTCATTGCATTGATTTTATACCTACAGAATGAACAATCTGCAATTTCATTTATGTTACATACTCTTCCCTACACTAGCAAATAAAAATTTGAATTGCACCTGGAGGGAGGGGATATGAATGCATTACTTAACTGTATAGATTCATCACAACTTTACTTATAATTTACAACTTTTGGTACAGTTAAATTATAACTTTGATGTCACAAGCTGTGTTGCTAATAACAGGCTACCCAAAGCTAAAGGACAACAGATATCCATTTTGTTTCTATTTATGTTTGTCAGTAAGTAGCCTTTCTTTTTGCTTCTCAGCACTGAAAAGAAAAAACAACATGTATAAGATCCAGCTCTTTCACACTACTTTCAAATAAGTTACTGCAATATTAATCTGTAAACTCTTCTGGAAAACATATATTTTATTCCAAGTGAAAGTAGTTTTGTCAAATAAATCAATTACACTGCAGAACTGTTTAACTTCCCCTTCACTTCAGCATGTTGCAAAACTGAATTTATAACTGCAAGACATTAAAATCTGAAGAGAAGAAAAAATGTATTTTGACAAAAATTAATGTATTGGATTTCAAGATGCATATAGGTAATAAACATTTTCAGAACATTGCTACCTTTGTTAAAAAGGTGATTGTTTGTGGGGAACATACAAAAAAGTTGTTTTTAACACTAGTCACACCTGCAACAGCCTCATAGGTAGGTAACGGGGTTCTGGCTGTCACCATCAGAAGGCCAATAAGCCTTATGACAACAAGAGCACATGCTAAAATCCCTAAATAAACAAGCAACCAGACATAACATCAAGAACAATTCACAGAAACACTGGTGACTAAGGTCTTAATGCTTATGTTCACTCATTGCTCTCTCTCCAAATCCCACCTTTTACCAGTGATTCAACCACAAAGGGAAAACATCCAACTATAGGCTGGGGCAGATGGATGTTCAGGGACAAGCAGCACTGTGCTCCGAGACTACATCGTAGAATCAGAAAACAGTTTGGGTGGGAAAGGAACTTAAAGACCAACTAATTCCACTCCCCTGCCCCGGGCAGGGCCCCCTTCCCTCAGCCCAGGGTGCTCCCAGCCCCGTCCAACCTGGCCTTGAACCCTTCCAGGGAGGGGGCAGCCACAGCTGCTCTGGGCACCCTGGGCCAGCGCCTCACCCCCCCACAGGGAACAATTTCTGCCTTAGATCTCATCTAAATCTGCCCGCTTGCAGTTTAAAGCCATTACCCCTTGTCCTATCACTACCTGTCCTTGTAAAAAGTCCCTCCCCACCTTTCCTGTCCTCCCTTTAAACCCTGGGAGGCCGCTCGAAGGTCTCCCCGGAGCCTTCTCTTCTCCAGGCTGAACCCCCCCAACTCTCTCAGCCTGGCCTCCCAGGGGAGCTGCTCCAGCCCCCCCAGCATCTCCGTCGCCCTACCCAAAGGGATCCCTTCAACCTACAGAGGTGCACCGGGGAGGGCTGACACACCGCACACCAACATTCCCAAGCTTGCCCGGCGGATCTGACACCCAGCCCGGCAGGAGCGGCTACCGGGGCGCCCAGACTCCCGCCTTCGCCTGGCCCAGACGATTTACCTCAGCCAGACGTAGCCCAGTTTTCTGGGCCGCCGCCATGACACCTCCCCCCGCCCTTCCCGCCCCTCAGCGCGGAAGCGACGAGCCCGGGTTAAACCGGCTCCGCGACCGCGTTAAGAACCGCGCTGAGGGGAGCAGCCAGGGCCGTGTAGCCCAGGAGCAAGACAGGGCTGCTGGACACCCACCCAACGGCACCTCGGGGAAACCCCAACCACAAACCCTCCGCCATCCCCCGCAGAGGACGCGGCGGGAAGCGGCGCCGCCCCTCCTGAGGCACCTCCTCCGCCACCCGCCCTTCCCTGCCGTAACGTCCCTGCGCCCGGCCAGCGCCCCGCCCCACACGATGGCGGCCGCAGGGCCGGCGCGGCTGGTGCGCTGCGGGCAGAAGGACGAGGTGTACCGGGGCGGGCTGCGGAGCGCGGCTGGCACCGCGCTGCACGGCCTGGCGGGTAATGGCGGCTGTGGCGGGGCTGGGACTGCGGGGACACCGGCAGCGCTCCGAGACCCGCCGCGAGCAGCGGAGCCCCCCCGGCTCGCAGATCGCCTGGGGGAGCTGGGTGCTAAGGCAGCGTTGGAGCGTCTGGGAGAAATTCCCGGGGAAGGGCTGGGATCGGAATGAATTTCACGTCCAGTAACTGTAGCGATCCCCTCCCTTAGGTGCCAGGAAGTGGCTGGAATGGAGGAAAGAGCTGGAACTGCTTTCGGATGTGGCCTACTTCGTCCTCACCACCTTGTCAGGTAACGTGCCCGGTAGCTTCCTAGCGAGCAGCTCTCCCAAGAGCGGGAAAAGCTCGCTCGTTGCTGGTGAGTGCCAACTGGACTGAGACTGCTTGACAGGGATTTTTTTTAAGGCGGGGGTGGTGGTGGTGGTTGGTTTGGTTTTCAATAAATGCCTTTTATTAAACTACTAAATTGTCAGAACTGAGTTCAAATGCAGCAGTTGATCTACTAGGATATATGCCCTTTTAAAAGTTCTTTTTTAAAAAGTGATGCGTAATGCCATGAAAAAGCATCCCTGCTTTAAGCCTAAAGCCATTGCAGACACTGATGCTGCAGATGCTGATGTAAACATGCTTGCCTCATTCAACACAAGAAAATGCAACAATTTCTGAAACTCCAAAACATGATGTGTTCTGACCTGAGCAGCTTGCCACCAACTGCTCAGCTATGCAGAGAATGATATTGCAATTGCCATCTTACCCTGCACGTTTTCTATTGCACACATTATTTAGGTTATCAGACTCTGGGTGAAGAGTATGTTAACATTGTGCAAGTTGACTCAACCAAAAAAAGGATACCATCTTTTCTTCGACGGGCCATCTTCATTTCTCTTCATACTGTAGTACCCTATTGCTTAGAAAAGGGATTACTGCATCTGGAACATGAGTTGCAGATAGAAGCAGATGAGCTCAGAGCCTCACAGAGCAGCCCAGCACTTGGCTTGTCCAGTAGGACCTTAATACGAAACTGGATACAGAAACAAGCTGGGGAGCTTACAGAACAGCAGAAGAAAAGACTCTTACAAATCGTGTATCTTCTTAAACAATGCATACCTTTGCTTCACCGACTACATCTGGCAATATTCTACATAAGGGGCACTTTTTATCACCTGTCTAAAAGAATCACAGGAATCACCTATGTAAGTGGATTTATTTCTTGTTACGGGATCCACTGTAGTATTTTGGCCTCTTGGGGTGTCATGTATGCAAAAAGGATACAGAATTTGGCTGTCACTGATTATAATAGGGGCAGACTGGGTGAGGGGGAAACTTAAAATACTATGTAGATGGGTTATGAGTCCCTGGAGTTGAAAGGTTATGGCTAATTAAAGTGAATGCACCATCAGAAGCTAATACCCTGTGTAACTTCAGAATACTGTCTAGTCCAGTCTGTCTTCTACAAATATACAAAAAGTGAGAAGTGGCTTAATAAATCCATGGAAAATACTTCAGTTTTGAATGAAAAATCAGTACATGTTTAGATAGCATTTTTCTATATGAATAGCTTAATTTCACATAGTCTTTCAAATAAACATCTTTCTAAAAAACATCAGCCTCTGGCCCAGAAATGTGTATAGACACAAGACTCCTCAACAGTTCCCAAGATCAAGGTGGACAAGAGATGTCTGATTATTTGCTCAGAGCTACATAGTAAAACCAAACCAATTAAGGCAGCAGTTCCGATGGACAGACATTTCAAGACAACTGATCCTTGCACCAACAGAAGGTGTAGCCTGACTGAGAGGCGTTCAGGACACATTAGACCTCCTGAGAGACAGCAGGTTGATAAGTCCTAGACACGATCCAGTTTTTTGGACAGAAATGAGAACCCCAAATCAAGAGTTTATTGGGGGGGAGGGGGAGTGGAGGAGGTGAAACAACAGACACAGGACAGGACAGAGCGGGGACAGGGACACAGGGAGCAACATAGTTTCATAAAACCCAGTAATGAAGCATCTCTGTTTCTATGAATTATATAGCTGTGTTTTGGAGGACTGCACGGAGAAGATCAGAGTATTCGATCAAGTTACAAGTTTCTTGGAATAATTTCACTCTTCCATCTTCTTCTAACCATTGGTGTTCAGATGTACAGCTTCAAACAGAAGCAGAGGGCAAGGCAGGAATGGAAACTACATCGCAACCTAGCTCATCAGAAGTATGATGATTTTTTACTTACTAGGAAAGCGGTGGAAGCAGGGTTGGGAAACGTAGCAGCTTTCACAGGGAGAACACTGGAGTGACACTTAAGTTAAAACCTGATGTAGTGTAATGTTTGAGGCATTCCTCACTGTTTTAAGCATCTCCTATATTTCATGCTTTGCTTGCATGTTTTTGAGATCTTCACGAAAAAGATTAATACTTGAAGACAGGATTTACTTTAGGATTGTGTTCTCAAACATTTCCTACAAGCAAGCTAAATAAAATTAATATGTAACTATGTTAATTAGAAATATGACCAAGGGACAAACGACGGAGCGCCACTCCCGCTGCACACTGTGTTTGGAAGAACGGAGACACACAACAGCCACACCGTGCGGGCACCTCTTCTGCTGGGAATGCATCACCGAGTGGTGCAACACCAGGGTAAGGACAGGACAGACAGAGGCTGGAAGGGGTAGACTTGATCAAATTTCTAATTGAAAACACCTGTCAGCCCAGGTGTTGAAATAATACCCTCTCCCTCATGAAGGCACCCAAAATCCCCACAGGAGAGTTTACCAGGACCTATATATTTTATCATAACAGAATGACTAAGCATTACATAGCTGAGGTAAGGTGAGCAGTTTTCTGTCCCAACCACTGAAATGCAGTCTGACAACATTCAAGTCAGACATGGAAATAACTCCTTTATCTACAGACATACGCTATAATGACTTCTGACTGCAGAGAAACATCAAACGTGATAATGTTCTGAAGCTTTCTTCACCCAATTTCCAGTAAAAAGGAGTAAAAAAAGATACAACCAAACTGAACTAGCTCTTATACATGGTGTTTTAAACTTGGATTTTGCTCTGGATTAATGAAATACAACAGAATTTTCATTCATTACGGACTTTATAGACATTGTGGAATAAGACATCCATTTACTTTCTCTAAAGAATGAAAACTGCTTGCCAGAAAAAAAGGCATAAAGTGTTACTTACAAATAAACTCTTTGCCAGAGGCTATGTCTGTGCTCTAGCTTAGATGTATTACTGCAGCTGGTTTAGAAATAACAGATACTAGTATGGCTGTGGTGGAACAGAATCAAGCAAATACATCTTGTCAGAGAATTTCCCTAAGATACAAAATCGATCTTGACACTAAAATCAGTATAGCCAAAGGCATGTATTTACATGAACCAAAGTTATACTTACGCAAGCTGTTAAGTTCTATGCCAGATACACCATTTGAAGACACAAACTAGAACGCAGCTTGCGATGAGCTGGCTTCCTACCACCACCCTGACACGAATCATCAAGGAAACATAGAGAGTCATTTCAGATTTGCTTGTAGGGACCTAGCCAGGGTTTATCAGTCTTGCCTGAACTATAAACTTAAAACTATCCTGCTAGGCTGTAACAGAAAGTTCTCCAGACCACTTTTTTAACTAGATAGCTATCAGAAGAAATGAGTTATTGGAGGAATAGTTCCTGTACACAGATTCCCTATCACTTGAGTGTTCAGAATATGATACTAGATGAAAAATATAAGGAAGATTGTTGGATATCCTTAATGCAACGATATTTACTCCCAAGTACTGCCTTATGAATCTGAAGTTAAAAAGCAGAAAACTTAGTCCACCTGAAAATCAAGTAGAGGGAAATAATAATAAAAAAAAAAACAAACCCAACCAAAAAAACCCCACCACTCAAAGCTGATAATTAGCAAGCAGATGCAAAATGGATTTGTATCTACCTCCCAAAACTTTAGTTTGGGCTTTTACAGTTTTCAGTAGAAAACCGAAGCATCATGAACTAAAATTTTCACACACACATTTCCAAAGTCTGGTTAGAATAATTTAGGTAAATGATCCTTTTGCACTGTGGCCTTATTCAAGTTTATTTGCTCTCTTAGATGTTTGGGCACCAATTAAAAAAAGAGTTGTTCTGATAATCTAGAATGAAGATTAGTCCTCACTTCCTGTTAACACCTCTGACTGGAAAATTAAGGAAGAACTTCAAATGAGTTAGCATTGGAAATTGCTGACTCCCTGCCTGAAGTACTTTCAAATAATGTGGAGGCACAGAAATCTGAATGTAGCAGAGATACACTTAAATAGGCTACTGACAATTTCAGTCACCCATTTTCAATGTGAGTACTAGCTGACAGAGCTGCATCTGTTAGAGGACATTTATTTTAGACTTTTTTTGTGTTGTTGTCAACTCTAAAACTGTCCCAGATGCACATATCTGTACACAGTAATAAAAATGCATTACGTAGTGATATTTCAGATCTGAAAACATCCATTCACTCTACTTGCAACTTTACCTTATTCTTTGCCCTAAAGGCTTGGTGACTAATTTAATACTTGAGGAGCAGTTCAATGTCCATGGTACAGAATTTTGTTTCAGATACAGAGACTTAAGTTGTTTTTTTTCTTCACACTGACAACAAATGTTACCATTTCAGTAGCTTTTAGTCTTTTGCAATGAGCTGACCTCATGAATCCTTTGACTCTTCAACTAGATTCACCAACAAAGATATAAAAAATTAAGCACTCTGATTTAGAGAACTAAGAGTACCTTACAATATGAATAAATGTTTCCTCATACTGGCTCTAACTGTAGCTTTTTCTGATTCTGCTTGTTAGCAAAATTAACTGAAGTAGTATTGCTACCTAGATTAAAAAATAAACAAGGAAACACCAAAAGAACTGTTAAGAATCCACCACAAACCAGACTGAAAAAAATGATTTTTAAATTATGGATGCTGATTATTTCCTAGTAGTGGCAAACCAGTTATATTTGGATTTTTTTTTTAACTTTAAAATACAGTAATTCAGTACATCTTACCTAATTTATTTTCCTTCTGTAGACGGAATGTCCACTGTGCAGAGAGAAGTTTCACCCCCAAAAACTCATCTACCTACGTCACTATCAACTGTAAAGGAAAAAGTCTATTCTGTTTCATGAGAAGGGCCTCAGCTCTCATACTCTTTATAAAGTTGTCATACAGCTTGAGTTAGTCCAAGAAAAAGGCTTTATTATAAACCTGGTAACTGCCTTTGCAAGGTAGCACTTCATTCCTGTTTTACAGAATAAACGTATTTCTGCCTCTACCTGTCTGTTTCTTCTAACACGGTTCTTGACCTTATTAAAAATATGTCTTTCTAGAAAGTGCTTAACAAAAATGTAATAGCTTTCTTCACTTTGGGCAATGAAAAATTTAAATCAGACTTTCATTCTCTAAATATAAGTGTAGACAACAACTCTTCCAACCTTTCATAGCATACTTAAGGTATTAGTGAAATCCTGTACTTTGCAAGACTCCCTTTCTCCTGTAACAAAATAATGAGCCCATACTGTAGACTTCAGGGGAAAAGGACAAAAGCCGTACACAAACCCCTAGTTTAACTGCGGTGGAAGTTCTGATGGTAAACATCTGTTATGTACCATTCTGTTTTCAAAACAACGTTAACAATAAAGCAGGTTTCTTTGATTTGAAAAACTGAGTTTCCCTTAGAAAAACAGAAGCAACAAATGCAAATCCATAGTAACGCAGACTACTTTGCACACTGATCAATTAAGATTCAGCTTCCAAACTCAAAGCTCTTTTATCATTATTAGATAGCAAGACTTTTCATCAAGTATTCTAGATGTTTAGACTATAGCAATGTAACAAGTGTTGTTTCAAAAAAGCCCTAGTATGTATACTAGCAGAAACTAAGCTCAACTATAAAGCATTAGTTTTATAACACAACTGAAGTTTTGTCTGTGTGGTTTTTTACAGTCTAACACAGCCAAGGAAGAAGCTGACTTCAGCCACAAGACCCCCACTCTGCTCTTTATGGCAATAAGGGCTATTGCAGCTAAGCCAATAATTTAGACTATGAAGGAGGAGGGATTCAGCAGCATCACCTCATTAAGGTTTATTCCTGTAAATTATTCAGTTATGCAAGTATTTGGAGCAGCATGGGAAAAGAAAATTGTTAGTCACTGACATACCTTGTCATTCTTCCATGATAGAAAAAGTATGAGATGAATTTATTTGTATTCTTTAAATACAGATGGGGAAAAAAAGCCAGATGATCCACTCTGAGTTACAGTGTCAATAAATCTTTCACATATGGCATTGAATATTGACTTAGGGTGGCAGGGGGATGTGTGCTACAGTAAGAGCACTTTAAGATGATTATTTGTACCACAGAGATCCCGTTTAGCTAGTTACCCATCAAATCTCCAAATGTCATCATAAAAACCCCAATAAAATTAGTTTAACTTTTCATATCTATAAATGGAATAAAAAATAGTTGCTGGTACAAAAGTGATTTTCAGATCTGCAATACCATCCCTTTCTTACACCAGAAAACTTTCATGCATCCCTCACATATTTAAAACCATCGAGGCAATAGTGGAAGAAAAATGGTCCATAGCACAAATCAGAATATGACTGCCTAAGAAATCACTGCCTGATCTCCCTACTAAAAATAGTAAAGAAAAATATTTAGCTGCACATAAAAACAGATCGGAAGCAACTGATGACTAGGAAGTATGTGAAGTTGTCAAGCCAAGTTCTTCATGCATTTTGTAAGGGTAGTTTATTTTTAGCAATTCTCAGTGATAAAAATAGAGTAAAGCTTGACAAAATACCATCAAACGTGTCTGGCCATTGCATGCTAAGTGTCAGCTAGGGAACTATACCATTGTCCCAGCATCATCTACAATCCATATTTGAAAACTGCTAATCCCACTGAATGTGGAGCATCTATGCCTAACAGAGAGGAGGCATTAATCTTAAAATGCCACTAAAATTTGAAATTAAGTGGAGGTAAAAATGTCTAATTTGCAATGGATGTCGTTAACATTCTGTTGTTTAGTAGGAGTCATCCCAGTTGTCAGTGTTAATAAACATCACATTTTTCTCACTGACTTGAAGA